CGGTATTGCATGTGCCAACAGCATTGAGCACTTCCACTTTTAATTTCGCTTACTCACCTAATTTCTTAACCAACTTTTTGTTCTTGTTCAGCTTTTTCAAAGCCTCAGCATCCATACATGGCAAGTTGTTAGCTTTAGCTTCATCCATATGCTGCTGATCAGCAAGAACACAGATCCTGAATTTCGGTCGCGGTATATTCCTCAGCCTGTGAAAAGGAGGATTTATCATGAAGAGGCCCGCTCATAGTTCAAACTATAATAAGGGCTTGAAAAGATTACCAACTCTGATCCCAAAGGCAACTACATTTCAGCAGTTTAGTCAAAGCATATATACAAAGCAAATTTTATTATTTCTAAAAAAATCAAACGAGCTGCTCTGATTGGTTTAACTGTTGCAGTTGGGGAAGACAGCCCAATCTTGCTAGTAGCTTCACAACTCAAAACAGGATATTCCCTGTTCACTTCAAATACGTCTCTCGGGGTTTTTGAATACCAATTTTTCAACCAACAAGTACACCAAATTTGAGGGCAACCGCTTAAAATGCCTTGAACTGATTGAAATTGTAAATGAAAGACCACTTGAGGTATTCAGGTATCTGATTTTTGAACTCTGCATTTATAGATTTTAAAGTAGGTTATATTAAAAAACCACCTGCATGCCTATCAAAAGTAAAGATTTGTGAAGAGTTTAAATCATGGATGTCTTTCACTTGTAATTTCATGAAAAAATCCTGGACTACCAAATTGTATGGCACAATCAGCAACAGTAGAAAAAAAAAAAAAATGATTTTGAGCCATACAATCCACACCCAATCGTGTGTACAATAGAATGGCAGATCAAAACAACTTCAGTTCTCAGATCATTTTTGAGAATGTCCTCATAACTAAATAAGTTAATACATGCCAAATAGTTAAATCATCACTGAACTGAATCCATGCGTTTTGCCAGCCATTCACTGTATACAGTAATGTATTGAAAATAATACCACAACCACAAAGTTCTACCTTCTAGTTATACAAGGAAATTAGTGGCATATCTGCCTCCCCAGTTTTTAAAGACCCTGGGTACGAGTCCGTTAGACATCAAAGTCCAACTACCCCAGTGGGGTTTGAAAACTCAAAAGCCTTCATACTTCACTGTTCCAGAGAAACGCTTGTCTTTCTGTGGATCATAATTTTTCAGGTTAATCTGTAGTTCGACTGTCTCTTGAAATTTCCTTTTTTTCTCTTGACTTCCTTTAAGGACTTCTTGTACGGCTTCGTACAGGGTATCCCTGGTAATCTTACTGTAAACGGGAAAACAAGTTATTTAATCAATACTGAAGACCGACAAAAAATAAAGCAAATCGAAATTTGAAGAAAAAATTTGACTGCATGCATTATAATTTGTTAACAATATGTTGTGATTAACAAGTTGTGTACATGTGCCCCCAAATCAAACGTGCAAGTGCATTTTCCAGCAAGTCACACAAGTATTGGGACTGCAAGTTAACAAACGTAATCACCAACCACAAGAGTTTTGACTAAATTTTGAATATTACCATTCATTTTTTCACTGTAAAATTGCTAGTAATATCTAAAAAACAAAGGTTGATGTTTTTGTATGCAATAATGTTTGTCATGGTCAAATCTGTTTTGTCAAACCTAAAGTTATCAACGATTAGTGAGCAAGTTTGCTAACTTGCTGTCCCAATACTTCTGTGACTTGCTGTAACAAAATCTTAATTTAGCTTTCACTCTTTTACATACAGTATCTGGAGATGGTACAAACTGGTTAAACGTGTGTCAAGAATGAGCCACTGAATAAATAAGATTGTTAACACGTTCTCATACCGGGACTGGGGACAAATCGCGCAATTCGTCGAGAAAGGAATGCCTTAAGTTCAAGTAGCGAAAGTCCGAAAAACCATACAGCATGCACCACAAGATGGTATGATGGATGCACAAACATCTCCGTTTGTTCAGGTTATCAAATCAATAAATTAATGTTCATGTACTATCTATTTTTCATTCATAGGGCCCGAGAACATATGTTCCGGACGGGGCAATCCCAGAAACTTTTTGAAATGTAAACACAATCAGTATAAAAACATAACATAAAATACAATGAACTACATATTAAAATATCATTGAACTATCAAGGTGATAACATGTCACAATCATCAGATGGAAGTGGATTATTTTCAATAATTATTGAACGAACCTCATCTTGCAGTAAGATGGCGAACACCGATGGTGAAAAAGACCATGTGATAGCGAGGCTTCAGCCTCGTCGGAACCAATATTTTATGAGTTGAATGTTCCTGTTTAAATATTGTCCAAATGTTGATCTAGATATAAAATTAACATATATAGATGTAAAATGCATTATTATTTATAATATATTTCGACATTGTAACTTCTATTTTAATATTTAGTTGATAATATTGTCGCTGTTACGAGTAGTCGTTCGAGGTCATCATCTCGCATATTGCGAGACGATAATTGTCGAGACTTCCTGGATTTCTTTTTTCGCCATGTTGTGCATTTCTGCGGATGAAGTAACTAAAAATATACTTGGAATGGTGGGCTCTCCAGCGAATGACACACATTCCCGGTATAGTACCTAACCCAGACATCAATAATGTTACCAGGAGAAAGTAATCAGCTCGTAGCAACTGAGGTATGTTTCAAAACTGTAACGTACCACCCGATCATCATTAATCGCTAAAATCGGTGTCTCGGCATGCTCGGCCGTACCGGTTAAGTTAAAAAAAAACATCCGACAACCACAGAATGATCCGATCCGTCACCGCTTTTCAACAAGTGTCCCGTTATGTGACTATAATCCTCATGCGAGAATTCATCAACGCGGCCGGCAACTTTTACTCAAACCGTTCGTTGTTCCGGTCGAGCCGGAAGAGAAATAAAAAAAAATGCCACGACTGATTATTTTCAAAATAACGATGACGACATCATTTGTTTCTATCATTGAACTAAAAAGAAAATTATACATAATATCCACATATGTATTTTCAAGAATCGGCACCACCAGTAACTTCTAAACAATACGATAACGATCTGTCAATTCGTTAGGTGATCATCGGTGACACGAATGTACAATGGTGGGTGGGAGTGAATGAGAGCGTGAAGGGGGTGAAGCACCCTAGTTTGACAAAAAGTGGGACAGGTGACAACTATTGGAATGTTCGCTTCAAACTCTTACAATCATCATTAGTTAAAATAAATAAGGATTACAACAATCTCTATACCCATCACATTAAAATGTTTATTATTTGGTATGACTATATTTGTAAATTAAAAATGCAGGGTAGATATAAATACAGTAATACCCATGATCAACTCTGTGTTGGAAACACAGAGCTGATTACGGGTGTTACGTTACCCTACTGGACGTAACTAGGCCGCGTTAGCACCCAAGCCCCCTTCCCTTTGCGCAATTTTTATATTCGGGGTCACATTCGGCAAAACACCCACCTTTTCAAAATGCCACTAATTTAAAACTTGGTCTTTGATCATTGCCTAACGAATACTGGTAATCGTTTTTATATGATACAACGTGGATATCAACCAACGAGAGTATGTTGTGAATGCGTAGACCCTGGTAATCGTGCATAAACTACGCTTCAACAATGGCCTGTTAATAAAAGTAATATGTGGTTAATATTTCATGTCATACTCAGTTTATCTATCAAAAATTGCTGGTTACCTGTTTTTTGACCAATGTCCATGTCGTTTATTCACCGAAATCAATTCCAGAAGATCGTACAATTCACTTCCACATTGCGTAACCAGAAAGTCTTAAGGAATTTCTAAAGAATTATGTCGGTACAACACAACATTCTGATTGGTTAATAACAGACTTGTCAATGATGGCGCAACTAATTTTCAAAATTCTATTTTCCCTCAAAGACGTAATATTCCCCCTCAATCTGTCACTTGGTGAATTAAAATTGTCATTTGCACTTTTTTCCCAGAGGGGGTGCTTGGGTAATCATGATTTTCTGAGTTGAGAACCCTGGGTGCTAACGCGATCGAGTACGGTAAATGTCGTTACTGATGATGTTATGGATGATGGGGACATAAAACAACAGATTAAATCATTCTATGGTAAAGCAAATATACCGCTTCGAAAATCTTCTAGCTGCAGTAGTAATGTTAAAATTACATTGTTTCAAACCTTTTGAGCTAACATGTGTTGTTCACAGCTTTGGTTTCAACATAATCGTAGAAGTATTAATAATCTCCATGTTTCATATAGTAATGCATTTCGTTTATTTTTGGGCCTGGATTGTAGTGCTGGTGGTATGATTGTATCCTCCAACATTCCTACATGTGACATTCTTAGACAAAACATGTCTTTTTTCACTCTATACCCGTCTTAATAAAAGTGGTAATAGAATTGTTGTAGTGCCTTCATCATCTGATACGCTTTTTTGCTCCGCTGTCGACTTTGTCGAGCGGAGCTTATCATATGAGTGATTGTCTGTCGTCGTCGTCCGTCATCGTTCGTGTCAATGTTTTATTTTTTCGACTTCTTCTTGAAAACTACAAGCCTGAATGCTTTGATACTTGGTGTATATGTACCTTGGGTGGACCTCTTTCAGATTTGTTCATTTTGTAATGATATCTTTAGTTCTCTAATTTTGGTGAATATTTTTGTCATTTTTGGTAAAAAGTGATATTTTCAACTTCTTGTTAAAAACCACAAGTCCAATTGCTTTGATATTACATATATAGGTACTACATGTGGATCTCTCTCAGATTTGTTCATTTAGTAATGATATCTTTAGTTCTCTAATTTTGGTGAATATTTTTGTCATTTTTGGTAAAAAGTGATATTTTCAACTTCTTGTTAAAACCGCAAGTCCAATTGTTTTGATATTACATATATAGATACTACATGTGGACCCTTCTCAGATTTGTTCATTTCGTGATGATATCTTAAATTCTCTAATTTTGGTGAATATTTTTGTCATTTTTGGTAAAAAGTGATATTTTCGACTTCTTGTTAAAAACCACAAGTCCAATTGCTTTGATATTACATATATAGGTACTACATCTGGACCACTCTCAAATTTGTTTATTTTGTAATGATATGGTCAATTCTCTAATTTTGGTGAATATTTTTGTCATTTTTGGATAAAAGTGATATTTTCGACTTCTTGTTAAAAACGACAAGTATAATTGCTTTGATATTATTACATACATAGGTACTACATGTGGACCTCTCTCATATTTGTTCATTTTGTAATGATATCTTTAATTATCTACAGTAATTTTGGTGAATATTTTTGTCATTTTTGGTAAAAAGTGATATTTTCTTCTTGTTAAAAACCACAATCATTTATGGTTAAAAATGATATTTTTGAATTTTTGTTGAAAACAGCAAGTCCCATTGCATTGATACTATTCATATTGTTCATTTTCTAATGATATCTTCTGTTCTATAATTGAAATGTGCATTGCAAACAGCGGAGCTATCTCAGCCGACAGGCTGCTTGTTTGTTCTTTTTTTATGTTCTGTACCATACACTTATGTGATACGTCACAGTTACTCTCAAGTACTAGTATTAAGTCAATTCTGTGTTCTCCCCAATATACAACATTAGGAATAAATTATGTAAATCATATTCTAACTATTATGCAAACTAGCTGTCATCCACCTAAATCCTGGGGAAAACACTGCAATTCTTTTTATATGTTTTTTCTCTGACGTTGTTGGTTTTATACATATTGTTTTATATACAGGGCTTCAGTGTTCTCCCCAGAAATTTTCCATAGAGTCGCGGCTAATTTGCATAATAATTAGCATATCATTAACATATTGTTTGTCATATGGGGGAAATAAAACAAGACCAGTTTTTTTTCCTTTTTTTTCTATTTATTTTATGTACAATCTGTATACAATAAAAGTGCACTGCATGTTTAGTATTGCAAATGTCGCGCAGAAATACTGAGTTTTCTGATTTTTTTGCTTGGCCCAGCAATCAGCAACTTTATAAAACCCTGTTCGGTCCCGGTAAATTAAACATTGGGTTGATGATTCTCAGTGCTTATCTTCCGTTTCTGTTGTTTTCCGGTTAAGTACAACAACTGTTACAAGTCACGATACTTATGCTACTATGTTCGAGCAATAATAGTTTTTCTGGCTGAAATCATCCATCTTTATGTATTTTTTTTAATCGTCGATGTTGTCTGTTCAACACAATTGTGAACAAGTCGAGACAATGGAGTTCTGAATTACGAATTGTCACCATTGTTATACCACGTATAATTGAGGCTTTTCCTTCAAGAAATAACACAAGTGTCACTCCAATTTCCACACGTTTCTTGATTAGAATTCCTGATTTCTTGATAAATATATTATTTTCCATTATGCTTCACTTAATTCATCCGGATCTGAGCACGATATGCGATCCGAGTGGGAAGTTCACGCTCACTGGATCTTACGTGGATGACGCCATCTTGGATTCACAATCATGAGGTCAAAATTGTTTACATCATAAATATATATTTTTTCACATTTTGATCACAAAAAAACAAATACAATATCAAAAATACTGATAAAAATCAAAACCTAGAATAATAGTACGACTACATTTCTAAAAATAATAATAAAAATACGTTTCGTACACACCGGAAACATGTGGTTTTTGTCCCTAAGTGTGACTCTATCATTTGCATATGAATATACGTTTGGCAAAAAGCGTTTGAGACCGGAGCTTACGGCTTTGTCTTTATAGAACTGCTTTGTTTTTTTAAACGATATCCAACCAATGAGAAACAACAGGGAGTTATCCCGGGAAATTGGCGTTAATACAATGCATTTGTAGATTTAACTAGTTAGCCAGGAAACTTTACAGTCTGTGAGAGACTGAAGAAATCAGATCACGGGATAAATAATAGCATCGCGGAGGAAACACGTAGCGTCGCGGGAAAATCCGATCGCGCCGCGTATAAGATGTACAAACTTTTAATAAAGATTTAATAAATAAATTTTCACTTCGAGAGATTGTTATAATAATTGACCAATTTAATTGATAGTGGCTCAAAATAAACTATAGTCTTGAACAATCATATTTAGTATGGAACGTGTACATGTGAAAACTAGTTGCCCATTGATATCAACTATCAAGTAAATACAAAATACAAAAATAAAATACATGTTTCCTTTTTCAGTATTATTTATTACCTATTTTTAAAAACAATTTCAAAGTTTTTTTTTTTCAGTGTTTGTAAAAATAATCGTCTAAAGAAATAACAACGCTATATTGAAACTAAGCGAAATCATTCAAATCTCGCACTATGTGAGATTTCAGTGTGAGATTAAACTGTGAGGGTGCTGTCATGCTCAAATCTCAAATTGTACCAGAACTACTAATAGCCTTAAAGAACGGAAGTCGTCGTGCCACACATGTGCGATACATATGGGTCTCATATAAACAAAGATGGCAACTTTGACTGTTGCAGTTTAGAAGGAATCGAAGGAGTCATGAGCGGTAATTAGTTCTAGTCACGCCCAGGTCGAACCTCACATTTGTGATTTCCATTAGAAGAGGGCATTGGATTGTGGAAAAATCAACGACGACTACCACCTTTTAACCATATCTACTCAACAAGCCGATTATCAAATATTTTTTTTTTTCATTTCAGGTTTCGTGCGTAGCTGATGCACCCAAGATTTTGTGTATTATTCGAGATACTACCAATCCACAATGGCAGACATGCAATATTACGATAAATTTACCAGCCAGTTGCCCTTGTCGTGAACTACACGATGAAGTTGCTCGGCATGCTAACTATGAAACAGACAGTTTCTCATTGGTGTGGATCAGGGGAGGGCAAGACACTGATGAGGCAAGTCACTTGTTTTCCCGAAATTAACCATTTAGACGAGTGATGAGAATGAGATCATTTGTAGGGATTATCTACTTGACACTTGTTTTCCTTAACCCTTTCCCCGGCAAACTTTCTCATTCAAATATTTTTGCACTTTTTTTCTTGTATTCTTCAATATTTCCTAAAATGACCCCTAGTTTTGGAGCCAACAGACAAAAGTTGAGTTACTTTTCAGTTTTTACTCAAAATATTTGGCTGTTTTTGTCCCAATCTTCTGAATGAAAGAGCTGACTATAAACAGGACTGATTTGTGAATTTGTGATGAAGGTGGAGAATAGGTTGAGGTAGAAGCCTAGTCATAATTTTTGACAAAATTGGTCATAAATCGCATGACAATGTTCATTAGTTTATTATGTACAATCATGAAGCTAATGTCCCATGGTAGAATTAAATAGCATTATTTTGTGTGTTACAGTTAAGCTTTTTGAAAAATGTGTTCTAATATTTCTTGGAAATTATTATTTTTAGAACTATTCCAAAGACACCAATGTTAAAGAAAAATTGCATTTTTTGACACTTTTTAAAACCCCGATTTTTAAATAATTCAGAACAACAAAAAGTACTCCATCATTAACAATATATGATTTTTTTTCAGCCCATGTCACCAGGCTAGATTTTGAGATATTGCATAGAAACCTGTGTCAATATAATAGTGTCAAAATGGTGACTTTTCGCTAAAATACAACCATCAATTTCTCGAAAAAAAGGCTGGTGACCTTTTTTTGATCAATATTCTTATATACCGGTAGTACAGTTTTCTGCAATGTGAATAAATTTTGGGTATTTTAATCTATGAGTAGCTTCTACCTTAAGCAAACCTTACTTTGGGGATCACTCAGCTAGTCTATCAATAATCACTTGCCTGGATCAAGATTTAGAAGTTCTAATCATCACTCTTCTCATGCATACCACTTTGATGTGATTTTCACCTTGTTCCAATTGTCTATTTTAAGCTCCCAGGCCATATTCAGAAGGAAAGGCCTATTGTTAGTGGTTTTATTAACTTTGGCAAATACATATTTATTGAAAGGAAAGAACCACCCAAGAATTTTCAGAATTTATTCATTTCACAAATTGTTTTTCTCAGTCAAAAGGATACTGACTTTAATCAAATTGTCTATTTTAAGGTCTGCTGTAAACTTAGTCGATAGAGCTGAGCTCTTCATTTTACTGATTATTCTTTGGCATCAACTTTACATTTTCGACTTCGATTTTCAAATCTCTAATTTTGATGAATATCTTTTTAATTTTTGACTTAATTTAAAAAATGGGCAGCCCACTTGCCTTGATATTTTATATATCGGGAATGGAATATCACTAGCTGATATGGTACGATAAACTTCACAGTATTAATGTTATAATGTAAATGTCATCATTTCTTTTGTGGTTGAACTATACAAGTATTTCCTACTGAATGACAATTACTTGAATGATGTAATTATACTATTGTGTAGTAATATAAGTTCACTTTGAAAAGATATAGAGAAGGGTAATATTTCTATTAATTATTATTCAAAAAAGATTTAGATAGACGATACATGTAGCCACAAACGCCATATTAGCATATGAATTGTAATCATATATTTAAAATGAATTATGATTTCTCTGTATTTTTGGCGCTCATTCATCTGATGAAAAAGTTTAATATCATTTTTTTTATAGAGCTGGTTGAATACTAGTAGCCCCAAACAAGCAAGTGGTACCAGCTATTAACCCTTATAATCTTGTGAAATGTTTGGTTGCCTTGGTGACACACTCATTATCAATAATATGTCATGGAAATTAATAAACTTTTATTAGTGTGAAAGTGAATCAATGCTTTGCGGTATATAAATAATTTGCAATAATTGAATCGTTGTCATGGAAAATACCCAATATTTAACGTAGTTGACTGCCATTTGTATAACTGATCTGATTTTCTTGACGATTACGCATAGTTTTATTTTATGCTAGTTCACTAAACCCAGATAAAAATAGATGGTCAACTACTTTATACAAAACACTGGTCAAGCTTATAAAAATGGTTGTTTTTGAGTCATTTACTATTGGTTCATTTCGTATATATTGTTACACCGTGTCTGAAATTTTTGTTTTGTTACATGTGGTGAAAAAATAATATTTAGTTATAGTATGGGTACTTAAGTTAGGCATTCTGACGGTTATTATTTCTTTTTTTATTATTTGTGAAAAAATGCTTTATAATAGCTTCCTATAGAAATTATTAAAAAATGACTATTATGTTTTGTTTTCAGCATTTTTTCTCTCAAAAAATATTTTGTACCAAAAATAAACATGTGTGTCAGAATCATGAAATTAATGACATGTGTCACTTTTAAAACAAAAGAATGTGAATTTTTTTTTATCCCTATTTGTCTGATTGAATACCTGTGATCTACCCCAATTAGTCCCCGTTCGGACGAAGTCCGAAAACGGGGACTTATAATTCGATCTCCGTCTGTGCGTCCATCCGGAGTCATATCTCAGAATCCCTTGGACCGATTCCGGTCATTCTTTGCATGCGCCTAGTACTTTATGTGGGACATATGCACATGCAGTGGTTTAGCGATTCGATTCAAAATGGCCGACTGGCAGCCATCTTGTTTTTTGAAAATGTTGGACATGCTTTGTCAGTTTTCATTCAAACTTGGTACATAGATTATACATGTTAGGATACATGTCCATGACGATTTATTTCACAATTGGACTGGCAAGCATCTTGTTTTTTGAAAATGTTGTATTTTGGACATGCTTTGTTAGTTTTCATTCAAATTTAGTACATACATCATACATGTTAGGATACATGTCCCGACCGTCCGTGAGTTCCTGAGTCTGTCCGTCTGTCTGTCCGTCCGTCCGTCCGTCCGTGTGTCTGTCCGTTCGTTCGTGCGTCAGTCTGTCCAGTCATATTTCAGAATCCTGTGGACCAATTCTGTTCATTCTTTGCATGTGCCTAGTACTATATGTGGGACATATGCACATGCAGTGGTTTAGCAATTCGATTCAAAATGGCCGACTGGCCGCCATCTTGTTTTTTGAAAATGTTGTATTTTGGACATGCTTTGTCAGTTGTCATTCAAACTTGGTACATAGATTATACATGTTAGGATACATGTCCATGACAATTTATTTCGCAATTGGATCAAAGATGGTCGACTGGCAGGCATCTTGTTTTTTTTTGTGCGGTATCTTAGACGTGCTCTGTCAGTTTTCATTCAAATTTGGCACATGCATGTACTTTATACATGTTAGGATGCATGTCCATGACAATTTGTTTCAAATTCTGGTCAAGGATGGCCGATTGACAGCCATCTGACTTTTTGGCCTTACTACTATATTTCCACAATTTCCACCATTTTAATTCATATTTGGCACATTCATCATACATGTACATATCAGTGTGTTTCATAGTCAGATCAAAGATGGCCGAATAACGGCTGTTTTTATTTTTGGCCATATTACTACTACATGGAACACGTGTTTTACAATCTGTTGTATACGCCACTTGGAACTCAAGTTTCAAAGACACACTCGCGACAACCCCTCCGCATTAATATGACGAGCACAAAGATAACTTTCAAAAATTTTACGGGGACTGTGTCATTTTCAATGACTTGTTGATTTTCCAATCGTTTTACTAGTTTAACACTCTTCCGAATCACAGGTACATGTATGGTGGCTTTCTTGATTTTCAGCTGTCAATTTTTTTTTTTTAATCATCAATTTTTTTTCAATGTAGATTTTGCTGAATGGTCTTGGTGAGAAGACGCTATTGGAATGTGGAATGCAGCCTAATAAAATTAAAAACTACCTCCAAATAAGAGACAGAGATGGGGAACAGCCAATACCCATACCAGTCAGTAAGGTGAGTGGCACAATGAATTTCATTTTATTTTCAAATTTTACAATGCGACCGATGACATTCGCTACTGAAACCGCTCCCTGCCAAAGTTAATAGGTGATTTTCCGTTCACATTGCCTTGTGCGAAAAGTGTATCTGTCGCAAAAAACAAGTGACTTTTTTTTAGCTGAATGACTAAATGCCAATCTTTCAGAAAGGAACATCACATTCTGACACCCTAACTTCATCAAAATTGACCATTAAGAAATGTATATACAATGTAGCACATAATTAGGCATGGAAATAACCCAAAAATTGATGAGCATTTGTTGAAACACTCTTTGAGACTATGACTTTTGTTTGTTCTGTTTTTATGTCTGATTTGTGAAATTTCCGTGTTTTTCTTGATTGAACTGTGAGGGTGCTATGTGCTGTATGGTTCAAATTTGTGGGGGCGCTATTTGTCATATCATTTATGATCATTCTTCGTGCCCCTGCTGAGTATTATTATTATGACAGGAACATTTTCCAACTGATTGTCCCTTTTCACAATCAGATACATTTTTTTTTTAATATTTCGTCCTTCTAAACCATACATGTATCTATTAACTCTGTTTAGGATGTAAGTACATGTACAGAAGAAAGCAGTAATAGTAGTCTACAAGGAA